GGATTTGGGAGTGTGCAGAGGGGACACAGAGGGGAACAAAAGCAGGAAAGACCTCTCCACCTCCCTATGTGGAAACATACCAGACCCTATGAGTTCAGATAGTCATGTCTATCTCAAGCAGCCACCACTATACATCCCAGTACCACTACTTAAAGATCACAAAACACAAGTTCTAGCAAGTCACAAGACACACCAGAGTACAGTCTACAGAGAATGCTCTGGGTCTAGCTGGCAGGGGCCTCTGCCCACAGGGGCAAGGAAAGAGCCCTCAGACAGAACATGATCTGATGTCTAAGAACTTCAGTGCTAGTCAAATCCCAGGATATTCCAGGCTGTACAGATTTCCAGACAAAAACCCACTTCAAATTGTACCCAGAAGTCAACTGGGGACCAACGGTTACATCATCTCAACTGATAGCAAAGGCTAGCACCCACATTCTGCAAGATCTTTAGGTGCATCCATAATCAGAATGCTTATAAGTGTCATGACCCAATGATTGTGTGTGTGCTTCGGCACTGCAGAATTATTTCCCGCCACATGGAACTTTCTTTGCACGGTGCAATTCTCAGCTGCAGAGAGAAAAACCCCGGTGCAAAAGAGTTCCCGCCACACACATGCAAATTCGTACCCCATTATTGGCTGTTTCTAAATTATTCCCACGTGGCGGCTAGCGATTGGCTTGCTAGCTGTATAAGACGCTTGAGCAGTTTCCGCCCAAGCCGGAGATCTCCGAGAATCTCGGGAGGACCCCGAGATCCCCGATTCCGAGAGAATTCCGGGGAAAATCCGAGAGAATTCCATGATTACTTCGTGGACTTCTATGTAAATCTTGGACCGACTGGTGGTCTGATCAGCTACCAAGAATCTCTCCCCGTCACCGAACGATCCCAACGTAACTCTACCCTGCGCGCTCGTCGAGAGTCATATTTCGGACTCTCATTTCGTTTGTTATCCAGAGCTCTATTCGTTTTGTGGAGCCTAGCAAACTCCGTGTGTGTGTGTCTCTTTGGTGGAGCCTAGCAAACTCCACGTGTGTTTGTCTGTAACTGCAACACAAGCAAGTCTTTCTGCCTGCACCACGACCACCTACGGTGTAAGTAAAGTTTTCTTTGTTCAACCACTACGAGTCCGTGCCTAATTCTAGTCCGTTGTGCCGACTTTCCCCGCCCACGTGCCCGGGCCGCTGGCCACAGCCCCTCGGCCCCAACAATAAGAAGATATTTATTCCATTTAAGCAGTTCAGAAATCTGGAAGATGTCACAATCACAAGTTACACATACAAAGGGTGGCAATACCCCATCAATGTGAACATTACCACCTACCAGCAATCAGATCTATCCAGCACTAAGAAAATCCATGAACTAATGGTATGCTACTGTCAACAGCCCAAGACTCCTCATGAAGTTAGTCAACAACATACATGTTTAACAAGAGGAATGAAAATGGAATCCTGTACAACCCCCGTGAAAGGATCTTAGAAGAACGAGCGGTTCCAGACCAAAAGTCTAAAGACTAAAAGAGGGGATACCCAACATCTCATGCATGTTGTGGTCAAGAATGGTTTTGTATTGGAGTTACTTTTTCCCCCATTAGAAATCCAAAATATACCTAGAGCCCTGAAACTTCAAGGTGAGTTGGGACAGGAAACTATGGACTGGACAAGATTTCTGCAGCATTTGGATCTCTCTTTCCTGTGGTCTTATGTGCAGCTATTAGATATTCTAAGGATCACAAGAAGGTGAGAAGGAAGAGAATCCTTCACATTGGGGAATTTTGTAACTGTACAGCTGCAGCCTGAAAATCAGGAACAGAAGGAACTAATTTCTTCCATAGCTTTCCTAAGCTTCAAAGGAAAGGAGAGCCTGGGATTCTTTATCTGGTAGGAGAAAGGTTCTTAAACTTTAACATTTAAGAGGTGTATGGGAATTAATTTAAAAATTAAAAGGTGCCATGGAGTTGGGTGTTTAACTACCTTTCTACAAAGCTTAGGAATTCCATGAGACAGGAACTTGACACACAGTAGAACAGCAATCCTTTCTGTAAGAGGCAACGTCTACCCTCTGCTGCTAGTATTCACTTCACGAATTATTTGAGTGTTTCTTCCTTTTATTCCGATTAGTCCCACTGGGACAGAGGAGCTAGCAAACTAAGCATAATTCTATTCCTTCTCATGCACCAGAGTAATTTTCAAAACACCAATTGGTTTTACTTCTCATCATTTGACAGTACCTGTACAGTCAATCATTGGGCAACAGAGAAGGAAGAAGGTTGGTAACATCCTTTACATCTTTCTGTATTAGTCTACATAGCTCAGCATGAAGCTCACCTATGCTGGCCTGCACCACTTAGCCCTAAACTACAGCCATTTTCCAGTTTTGTTTTTTGCATTTCTCCATTTATGACCTCTTGGCTGCACTTCTTTTATCCATTGACCAAAACCATTCCTTTCTAGTTAACAACTACATACATAACAATCCTACAAGCTCAGTCTAAATCATGCCAGATTAAGGCCCCAACTCCTTCCTATTCCAAACTCAAACCTCCTTCCCTACTACAGATGTACTGGCATATACATGTCCTATTTTTCATTCCTTCCCTCCACACCTTTCTTCCTACCCCACCCCCCAAACTGCAAGTCATCAGCAGGATCTGATAATTACAAGTTCAAAACAACAGTCTTGTTCTACTACCGAAATACATGCACTTACTGAAAGAGGGAGGCATATAGTTTTCCTCTACATCAGGGGTGTCAAGCTCACCTTGTGCTCTAGGCCAGATCTGGACCATGGGGCTCCTCATGGGATGGATCCAGCCCAGGGCATGGGAAGACAATAGTGCTAGCAAGTGGAGCAAGCAGCCACTGGCCAGGCAGTTGCTTGCCATGGCAGAAGTAGTACAAATGGTAGTGGTCCAAGAAACTGCAGGGCAGGGGAGAGCTGTGTGTCACAGCCCTAGCTCTGCACGCTGCTGCTGATAGTCACATCCACAGATTTTGTGCATCAGGCCACACCTCTAAATTCACTGGCCCTCCAGTAGCTCTACAGGTCAGATAGAGCTGCTCCATGGGCAAGATCTGAGCTGCAGGCCATGTTTGACACCCCTGCTCTATGTATAGCAGCACATAAAGAAAAACATTTTGGCAGCAAACAATTATTTCTTCCACCTGTGGGTCCACAGCAAGCTGCACTAACGGCTCTATTATTGTACCCTACTATATTGAAAGCTCACCAGATACAATTCCCCAAATCAATCCTTGTGTATCGCTTTACAAAGAAATACAACACTTATGACCTTCTAATGCAGTTAGAGTCAACGGAATTGCACTGTTATAGAGTCCACCCTCCTCATGCATGCTACTTTTGAAAACATTTTAATGTTATTTGAAATGACCTCAAACTCAGCTTCTTCTAAATCTCTAAAGTTATTTTTGTTTTGTAAATTACCCTTCCGCTGCAAAGGGCCATGGGAGAGCTCCCCAGGATGTGAGGCACCAGATTACCCTTCTCTCATTCACTGGGCTACTACAGGGTCAAGTTCATACTCCTCATTACAGAACCTCAATTCAGCATCCTATAGGTTTTCCTTCTTGGGTTCACATGTTAGTATTCAACCCACGGCCCCTGCTTTGGATTCCCTTATTCACAGGCTGGTTTAGTTGTTGTAACAAGGTACAGAAGGCCTAGGCTCACCAGGAACACTTTAAGGCTCCCTTAATTATGGAGGCCGCTGGAAACACAACTGATTCAGGGGACAAAAACCATGACAAGCGATGGAAGTGCAGATCAAAAGTTAACAAGTGTGCCAACAGGGGAACACTAAGCAGAGGGCACCAGTCCTTGAGCAAGGCTAAGGAGCCAGCTAATGAAACACCTGCCTGGAGATGAGTGGATGGAGGATTAGAAGACGGAGCCCCACGGTTGCCAGGGCTAGAGCCTTCTTCCTGGTCTGGCCAAACGCATCAGCTACCAGATCCAGGAGGAGGTTAAGTGGAAGGGTCCCGGGACTCGGTGGGGCCCTGGACAGGGAGGGCATAAGCAGAAGGGTGCGGGGGGAAGCAGCGCAGCCCGAACCTCAGCGAGAGGTTCCTGAGGAGGCAGTGAGGGGGTGGGTGCACCCCGGGCAGGCCCATGCCGGGGTCTCCCTCTGCTGGCAGAAGGGGCCGGTGTCACAGGTCTGTGAAATGTGCCAAATGTGCCTGTGGCGACAGATCCGGGTAGAAGCCCCCAGCTGAGGGGCTCGTGGGACGAAGGTGGAGAAGGGACTTGTGCACCAGGGACCCTCGGCCTCGTCAACACGCCCTGGGCAGGACGCAAGCACCAAACAGCGAGCAGCCGGGAGCCACAGTGCGCAGAGCTGGCGGTGAGGGGCTGCACGGACACGGGCAGCTTGGTGCCGGGACCCCTCCCTGCGGGTAGGGACACGCCTCGCCCAGGACCCGTGCAGCGGGAGGGGAGGGGAGGCGAGGGGTCCCTGACCGCTCACCCGTCGAAGGAGGAGCTGGTGCAGTCGTAGACCATCTCGCGGTTGCCCTTCATCTGCAGGTAGGCGTCGCAGTTGTCGCACCCGTCGTACTCGAACTGGTCGATGGTCTGCGGGCGCGGAGAGCGGTCAGTACGGTACGGTACGGTACGGTACGGTACGGCCCGGCCCCCTACCTCCCTCTCTCCCTCCCGCCCGCGCACCTTCACGAGGGAGCAGAGCAGACAGGCTCGCAGGTGCCGCAGGTCTTTGGGCACAGTCTCCAGCGCCATCGCCGCACGCACGTCGCGTCACTTCCTGCGCTTGGCGGAACAACTTCCGGCCCAGCGCCAGGCGCAGCCGCGCGCAAGCGCCGTGGGGGAAGCCCCGGCGCGGCAGGGAGCGGCCGGTCCGGGTGGCCCGCCACC